AGAAGTAAAATTAATTAATTACATTTTGACATATGTAGCTAACAGGCATCGTTAAAACAATATATTTCTATAATGACCAAAAAGGGTATATGCATGTATGGAAACTATCAGGAAGGTGAGTTTAGAAATCGACAAAAGGAAATTCAAGCATATTTAATTTTAAAAGAAGAAAGAACAAAATCTGATATTTGTTTTGGAAGTGTGTGTATAACAGCAGTACACAAAGTTGTGAATTGGAAAATTAAGGATTATCAAGTAAACATAACACTCACTACCATCATGAGCAAGGTCCATCTCTCTGGACTCGGAAAAATATAATGCAATCTTGGTAGCACAAATATACACGCAGAAAACAAAACATGTGTGGATCCTTCTATCAAAGGTTACAGAAAAAACAATTTGAACTCACTATGTTACTTAGAAAATGTCTTGGTAAGACATATATACAATATTTATGAAGCCCTCTAGTTTGATAAGAAAAACAATGGAGGAGCCAAGATTTAGTGATCCTTTAGCATGGAACTAAATATGAAGGCATGGGTATGACATAAAAGCCCTTCTTCCACTATATGTTTATCCACTCGTGGGAAAATGAATCACTTACTTTATATGAGATAATTTCAGTACCAATAAAGTTTAGATAGACAAATTCAGCACCTAAATGATCATATATAAGTTCAGTTTGTTTAATGAACCTTTATATTGCACTTTTTATCCCTAGGTAAAATGAAACATCTGTAAAAACAAACACAATAAAATTATATTAACCTAAGGAACTAAATCAAAATAATTAACCGAACATAAGAGTTCTAGGTATACGGCAGGACATATACTCTCTTCATTAGACATAAGCAAGCAATCCAACAAATACAAACACAAGAATTGATCCCGCGAGGGGCGAATCCACTGGCCACGGGAGAGAAGGGTGAGGGTATGGAGGAGCCAAGATTTAGTGATCCTTTAGCATGGAACTAAATATGAAGGCATGGGTATGACATAGAAGCCCTTCTTCCACTATATGTTTATCCACTCGAGGGGAAATGAATCACTTACTTTATATGAGATAATTTCAGTACCAATAAAGTTCAGATAGACAAATTCAGCACCTAAATGATCATATATAAGTTCAGCTTGTTTAATGAACCTTTATATTGCACTTTTTATCCCTAGGTAAAATGAAACATCTGTAAAAACAAACACAATAAAATTATATTAACCTAAGGAACTAAATCAAAATAATTAACCAAACATAAGAGTTCTAGGTATACGGCAGGACATATACTCTCTTCATTAGACATAAGCAAGCAATCCAACAAATACAAACACAAGAATCGATCCCGCGAGGGGCGAATCCACTGGCCACGGGAGAGAAGGGCGAGGGTATGGAGGAGCCAAGATTTAGTGATCCTTTAGCATGGAACTAAATATGAAGGCATGGGTATGACATAGAAGCCCTTCTTCCACTATATGTTTATCCACTCGAGGGGAAATGAATCACTTACTTTATATGAGAATTTCAGTACCAATAAAGTTCAGATAGACAAATTCAGCACCTAAATGATCATATATAAGTTCAGTTTGTTTAATGAACCTTTATATTGCACTTTTTATCCCTAGGTAAAATGAAACATCTGTAAAAACAAACACAATAAAATTATATTAACCTAAGGAACTAAATCAAAATAATTAACCAAACATAAGAGTTCTAGGTATACGGCAGGACATATACTCTCTTCATTAGACATAAGCAAGCAATCCAACAAATACAAACACAAGAATCGATCCCGCGAGGGGTGAATCCACTGGCCACGGGAGAGAAGGGTGAGGGGATTGGGAGAAGGTAGGGCCCTGCAGCGATGGGGAGAGGGTGGGGGCGCGGTGGCGGTGGTTGTGGACGACGGCGACGACGCCGAGGAAGTGACCGTCGGGGGTCGGGCGGGCAGGACGAAGGAGATGGCGGCGGCGCAAGCGCCCACCACCGTCTGCTGCCCCTCCAGACTCGAGCACTCCGCGGGGTCGGAGCAGGAGGGCTCGGGAGCCGCCGCCGTGCCCGGGGACCAGCTCACGGACGGGGAGGGCGGGCGCCCACTCGCCGCCTTGCCCTGCTGCTGCTCCTCCCCGCTGCCGCCGCCGTCGTGCTCCTCGTCCTCCCTCCGCTTTTGGGGAGGGGGGGGGGCTTTGCTGTGGTGGATCTGGCCGCCGATGGCGCGGGGAGGCGGGTGGCGGCGGCGGCGATGTGGGTGGGAGGAGAGGGGGCGTGCGGGAGGGGAGGCGAGGGGAGGGGAACGAGAGAGAGGGAGAGGAGGCGCGCGGGAGGGGGAGGGGAGCCGGCTAGGTCATCTCCACGCGGGCCGGCCCTTTTATACCCCGTGCAAGTGAAATGACGAAAATGCCCCTGGCGGGGCAGGCTATTTACGCGCGGTGGCACGAACAGGGTGAAACTGTTCATTGCAGCAGTAACTATTTTTATCCGACGGACGAGGTCATTCCAGGGCTCGATCCGACGGCTCAGATCGCATCAAGCGCCCCGATCCGACGGCCAGGAAGCCGAAATCGCTGAGGAGGCGGGAGGATCCTCCGCATTCTTATTTCTCGATACTCCAAACCATTCTGGAAGATGTTTTCTCCGGTTACGCAAAAGTAAAAAAGCCATTGTGAACAATGCAAAAGTGGTGTTGTCATTGTGTCGGAAACCATCTGGCCATCTTCTCATAAGACATTTAGCTAATTGCCCGTGCGTTGCAAGGGAGGCATGATATTCTAGTGATCCTCTCATCAAACCATCAATGATACTTTTCATAATTAACGTGATTCTTCCATTCAAAGAATGACACATTTCATAATTAACAAGATCCTCCCGTCTAGCGCTCAATGATACTTTAAATAATTAACATGATTCTCCTATCAAAAGAGTGATACTCTCCGTAACTAATGTGATCCTCTCATCTAAAGAATGATATTGTCCATAATTACGTAAACCAACAGACATATATACGAAATCAAACCAAAGCACGACATATCATCACGAGCATAGACTACCCTTTAATAGTAGATATCCGGACAATCATTGTTCCGGCTCTGCGTGAACCCCTCAATGACCAATAATACATTTCTTGCTCTAGAGATGGAGCTGATATGTTAGCTGAGGTAAACCTTTTTCCTTCACATGGTTAGGTTTGAAGTGAAATTGTATGACAATGTGAGTCTTCATTGAACAAAAAATCTGTTTCCATGGGAAGAAAATCAGGATCTTCCATGGACAAGTTCAAAGACAACAATTTTCGATTCACAAGCCGAAAATATTTTCATGAATGTTATTCCTCAGCAAAATAGGAATTAAAGCATGGGACAATGGACATATCTTAGAGCAACTTCAATAGCTCATGCATCCGTAAACGAAACTATCGTTTACGAGAAGTTATTAAGGTAAAAATAGCTCTCCAACAGCTCCTGTGAACCATTACGCACCAACCGCAACCTGCTCCATCTGATCTACCGTTGAGTCAGCCGCAGCCTTTGCAACGAGCACCATGTTGTTGTGCTCGCTCGCTTCGCAACATATCCTTCGTTTAAATGGGCGAACCGTTCCATACCAATCACAAACAGTTTGGTTCGATCTACCGTCGTCAGCCGCAACCTTTGCAACAAGCACCATGTTGCGCTCGCTTGCTCTGCAACATGGGCCAAGTTGCAAAGAGTGAAGATGGCCGCAGAGTCGGTTGACGCGTGCAGCGTGATCAGTCAGATAAACGCTAACGTGTTACACATTGAGAAAGTAAACATTTGGCCAAAACCAGACACACCAACAGTTAATAATCTAACAAATTACAGTCCACAAAGGGGCAGCGCTTGCGTGCTCCGACCCCCTCCTGCCCTAGAAAAACAGTGTTTGCTTGTTTAGTTTAGTGCGCCCCTCGCAGAAAAACACATGACGGGAAGAATAAAAAAGTACACGTACCATCAACCATGGGTGTCGTCAATCATCATACTCCTACTCCGACTCGTTGTATGGCTTCTAGGGAAGCGGCTCCTGCCGTTGTGGCGCTGCCATGTGGGCCTGTTCCCCGATGGGTCCATCAGTCAGTGGTCGAACGGCACCCTGCCGAACGGCAGAGGATCCTCGTCCGGCTTCTAGAGGCTCCCTCCCGCTGTATGTATAGCGCGGCGGATCCCCAACATCCGTCCCCCGTCGCTGTCAAATTCCGGATCGAGCGTGCGAGCCCTCGCCTGCCGTCTAGAGCCTCGCTTCGCCGCACGGCACAAAAAGGGGAGCGCCAGCCCGCCCAGCCCCGCTGCCCTCCTCCCCTCCACACGTCTCTGCCCATCCCACCCCCACCCCCACC